GGTGAATTGCTTGAGCCTAGCTATTCCAGACCAGCCTGCAGCATGGTGAAACCCTGTCTACAAAAAATACAAAAAGTTAGCCAGACATGATGGTGCACGCCTGTAGTCCCAGCTACTCAGGAGGCTGAGGTGGGAGGATCACCTGAGCCCAGGATGTCGAGGCTACAGTGAGCCACTGCACTCCAACCTGGGCGACAAGAGTGAGACCCTGTATCATAAAAAAGGCTTTTCTTTGCCACCTTCCCCTTGCCACTCCAGCCTCTAGGATCTCACTTACAGTTAATGACTTGGCACTTAGCACTTCCCTCTGCTAGAGTTCAAGGAGCTAAAGGGCCGAGGGCTTGCCATACCAAAGATACTTCTCCAGGACAGGGGACATCCATGCGTCCCCACAGAGTCCTCTGCTCCAGAACACAACAGACCCTCAGGTAACACAGATTGTTAAAGAGGAGGCAGGACTTTTCCTGCCCAAGACGGACATAGAGGAATCTCTAAAGATTTGTGTATTTCCTTCAGGTCTTCACTCAAACATCACGTTCTCAGCAAGGCCTTCCCTGGCCTCCCACCTGAGACACCATGTGCCCCACCGTGCCACAAACACACGGGCCCTGCCTCTCTCTCCGGCCTTATTTTCCTCCTTAACACTAGTCACTAGCAGGCCACATACTTAATTTGCGTCCCGTCAGTCGTCTCCCCACTGGAAGGAAACAACTACCTCTGGGTTTTTGTGGTTGTTGTTTTGTTATTGTTGCTGTGGTGGTTAGTTTTTGAGACAGAGTTCGCTCTTATCGCCCAGGCTGGAGTGCAATGGTGCAATCTTGGCTCACCGCGACCTCCACCTCCCAGGTTCAAGCGATTCTCCTGCCTCAGCCTCCCGAGTAGCTGAGATTACAGGCATGCGCCACCACGCCTGGCTAATTTTTTTGTATTTTTGTAAAGACGGGGTTTCTCCATGTTTGTCAGGCTGGTCTCAAACTCCTGACCACAGGTGATCCACCCACCTCGGCCTCCCAAAGTGCTGGGATTACAGGCGTGAGCCACCGCGCCCGGCCAAAGCCCGGGGTTTTTTCCTCTTTTGTTCACGGTTAGATCTCCAGCTCTTAGAATAGTGCCTGGAACAGAGTAGGAGCTCCAAGTATATTTTTGGAGTGAATGAATGATTGCCCACGCTTATCTAAGCACTTGCTCTGTGTGAGGGACTTCTGTAAACACACTATTTAATACCTTAGTCAGCTCATCTCATCTTCATAACCACCCTTCGAGGTAATACAATTATTTCTATTTTCTAGAACCTTGGGTGTCAGAGAAGTTAAATCCCTTCCCAAGGTCATATTATTTTTTCTTGGCGGGGCAGGGCAGAGATGAGTCTGGCTTCAAGACCTTAGCCATTACCTACAGGAAATGAGCTGTGTTCAGGTGGAGGAGCGCAGAAGGTAGAGAGGGATAAAGGAAAAGAAAACAGAAAACCTCTGGAGGAAGCTGGCTAGCACTCTAGCCCAGCACTGTCCAGTAGGACCTTCTGCGATGAAGGATGAGCCCTTTATCTGCACTGTTCAGTACAGTAGCCGGCTGCTGAGCACTTGAAATGTGACGAATGCAACTAGGAAGCTAAATGTTTTTATTTGATTTCATTTAAATGCATTTAATTTTTTTGGGGACAGGGTCTCCTGTCGCCGAGACTGGAGTTCGGTCGTGCAAACATGGCTCCAGGCTGCCTGGGCTCAAGTGATTTTCCCACCTCAGGCTTCTGAGTAGCAGGGACCACAGGCTCATGTCACTGTGCCCAGCTAATTGTTTTAAGCTCTTTGTAGAGACAGAGTCTCACCCTGTTGCCCAGGCTGGTCTCCAACTCCTGAGCTCAAGAGATCCTCCCGCCTCAGCCTCCCAAAGTGCTGGGATTACAGGCGAGAGTCACTGCACTGGCGTAACTTAAATAGCTACACGTGGCTAGTGGCTACTGTATTAGAGAGCACAGCTTCAATCCAGACTAGATTCAGTGACTGGAAACGCTTTTGCTTGCTGGGTCTGTGGCTTCCAGGCCTGGTGGGACAGGGATTCAGGACAGCGGGGAAGGGAGTGTGTATTTACAGCAGTGAGCACTTAGGGTACCTTGTATAATCTACAAATACCCAGTGAGGGGAGTATTTGTTTACTCCAGCTGCTGAGGGCTAGAGATGAGGGTCAGGCTCAGGGTCAGTGTGCCTGCCGCCTTGGGATCTCGGTCCACAGTCAGAGAGCTTCCTCTCTCTAACCACCCCCAACCCCACGCCAGACGATCTTGTTCATGGGTAGTCGGTACCCAGTGGCTGGGTCAGAGTCTGGGGCTTCTCAGTCCCTACACATGACCATTTTCAGGCTCCTTTGACGGTGGAGTCTGCATAGCTGATCCTACGCAGTCCTCACCGGCTTGACACGGACTCAAGAAATGTTTGCTGCAATGAATAAACAAGCAGCAAGCCAAATCAAGAAGAGATTTCTAGCAACAGAGAGCCCGGTGTGGGAGGGCCTTCATTCAGTTCCTCAATGACACCATTTAGGCAGCCGTCCTCAAACCTGACAGTGCCTAAGAATCACCAGGGGCACTTTGTGTAAAAGGACATGCCCCAGGCCTCACTCTCAGGTGTTTTTATTTAATAAATCTGGGTTGGGGTTCAAGAATCATCATGTTTACCAAGCCCTCCCACGAAACTTACACACCAAATCTGACGCTAGACTCAGAACTAAGCTTTTAAGAAATATTGATTTAGGATGAGGCTAGGCATGCATGTGGGTACTGGGGGCAGGAAGAGGTTGCCCTAGAAGGAAATTAGGAAGGTCTTTTAGATACTTAAAGGTATGCGTACTTCTGTTGTGTATTTTCTTGCATTGCAGTGGGAAGAGGGAACGGCGTCACTCAAGTCCAGCCTTCCAGCACCAGAGTGTTAGAGCTGGGAGAAGCCTAAGTCCCAGCTCGTCCAGGCCCTTAGACAAGGAGCACACCTGAGGGGTCCTGGCAGCTCCAGGGTGTGTGGTGGGCGGCTGATCCCCAGGAAAACAAACTTCTGGGCTCTAAGAAAGAGCCCTACAGGCTGTGCCCATTGTGCCTACGGATTTCCCCTCTCAGCCAACCCCAGCCTCTGCTCCCCCTCTGCTCCTCACTTCTCTAAAGCGAAACATCTCACAGTCATTTGCTCCATGCTTCCTGTACGATTTCTTTATTTTTACTCTCCAGTTTGTGGGCTGAGTCTGTGTGGGTGTGGGAGAGGAGCTGGGTAGGTTCTACTTCTCTGCGTTTTCCTTCTGAGCTGGGAGGGCTTTCACTTCCTCCCCAAACTCTCAGTTCTGCCTTTCATGGGCTGTCCAGGCCATGAGACCACCTTGCCCATCCTTCCTGAACAGCAGGGAAACGAAAAACGGACCGCAACTGCCTGCCGGCGAAGGGCCTAGCATCCACATGGGAGCATCCAGTGGCAACTACAGCAGGAACTTCCCTGGGGCAAGAGCCCCAGGCTGGCGCGAGCAGCAACAGAGGCAGACAAGGGAGCCCTGCTGGCTCCTGAGGCCAGCTGAGGCCTGGAACCTGTCTTGCCTCCCTCTGACACCACTATGGGCAAGCCTGGGCCTCCACTTCCCTCCGTCAGCCTCTTCTGCCCCAGCACTCAGCCAGAGAAGAGTGACTCTCAGCGTGTCCCAGTGCCCCCAGCTCTGCCTGGTGATCTTTGAGAGGCTTAGCGATCTACCACACTGGAGCACAGGGTCATGGAAGGGGTCCGCCTCCACCACAGGGGCCTGACAACCTCCATCCCAACCTCCCAGAACCTCAGTCTCCTCTTTCAAACAAAGTTATATGTAGATACAGTGGAGGATTAGAAAACACTGAATGGATGCCTCAATCCATAGTGGCTGTTGCAGGCAGGAGTTATAAATGCGTCTTGAAAAAGGAACCCCTGCCTTTTTTCTTCCAGTCATAAGGACCACACCATCCAAAAAGCAAAGAGAGCCACAGACACTCCAGCTCAGCCCCTAGCTGCAGAAAGCCACCCCCCCCCCCGGAAGGGAGAGATCAGAGTGTTCACCTAGAGCTGGAGTGCAGAGTGATCTAGTGGTGAAGGTCAGAGCCTTCAGCCTCCCCAGCCACCTGCTTAGTTTTCTGCTGTGTCCTCAAAGAAGCACTCAGGCCCTAAAATAAACCTCTGGAGAGCCAGTTGCCCAGCTCCTCCAGAAGAGAGACTAGACACATAGCTGGGCATTGGGCCAGAGCCCAAGAAAAGCCTGGCTTGCCAGGGGCAGATTACAGTCATCAGGAGCAACAAGTGCCCTGCCCTCTCCCTCACGGCTCCTTCTCTTATCTGGAGGGGAAGCCAGCACGTGCCAGCCCCAGGAGATCTCAGTCCCTTGCCAGCCTTCCGACTCAATTCCCAGGACTGGGGCACTGGGCTTCCCACAGCTGGTGGCCGCTGAAGCGAGTCCGTGCGGCGGGAGGATCCGTGACTCAGCGCCCATGATGTCAGTCCCTTCATAGTCATGGCACTGTCATCCACACATGCACCCGCGGGGGTGGGGGGAGAACCAGGCGAAGTGGACCCTCAATGCGGAGGGAGAAGAAAGGCGCTGGTACAAAGGACTCCCCAGGCGGGAACACCACCCCGCTGGGGCGCGCCCTCTCGGGCCGTCTCCCCTTAGAGTAACCTGGGACGCGGTTGTGTAAAGGCTCATGGGGGCACTGGGAAGGAGACTCGAGAGTCAAGTCCTAAACACGGACCGCAGGGAGCTTCCCGCACAGCTTCCCGGGACCTTCGGCGGAGAGCTCCGGGCCAAGGGTTCAGGGCGCAGCAGGGGGCGCAAGAGCGACTGCCCGCGACCACACAGCTAGGTGCCCGCGGGAACTCAAGGCAGCCACACAAAAGGGGAGCCGTCGCACCTCCTTTCCTCCCTTCAGCCTCCCCCAGGCTGCGGTGGCCACAGCGGTTTCCCCCAGCCGCCAGCTGCCCCAGCCCTCCAGGTGCGCCCGAATCCCTTACCCAGAGCAGGACAGCCCCCCGGGGCCAGCGCCGCCCCCGGCGCGGCCAGCAGGGCAGCCAACAGGGCAGCCAACAGCGCGCAGCCGACGGCCAGCATGCTTCCTCCTCGGTTACCGCTCCATGGTCCCGCAGAGGCGGGCGGGCTGGTGGGAACCGGGCGGCAGGGGCGGGGCGGTGGGCGCGCAGGCGGGCTCAGGCACCCCGGGAGCCCCGCGCTCTGCACACACTGCGAGTCCCTCGGCCCCGCGCCGCGCTCGGCTCCGCTCCCTCTGGCCCGACTCAGTGTCAGTGCGACTTCCCACTCGCACATGACTCAGAGCAGCGGACGGTCTAGGCAACGCAGGAAAACATTTGAGGAACTCGCGCTGAGCGTCTAAAGGCCGTCCCAGGGTGCGGTTGCGAAAGCTGGAGCGGATGGCGCAACAGCCCCGCGCACCGGCCGACCGAGGGGATGCTTCCTGCCACAGCGCCGCACCTGAGTAGGGAGGGAAGGGGACTGCCGGCCCCCTCAGGGCCCCTCCTGTCGGTTCTGTTGATGAGGAAAGGGCGTATCCGCCGCCAGCGGGCAGTGGCTTGGTTTTGATTTTTGGTTTCGAGAACAGGTTTACGAAACCTTTCGTGAAAGGCACACCTGGAGAGCCCTCGAGGAGCGATGTGCCTCTTACCCTACGGTAAAGCAGTGCTTGGTAGCCCGGTTGCCTGCTGGAATCAGCCGGGAACCCTAAAAACCACCGACGTTCGAATCCCCAAGGATCCTGATTTCGTCGGTCTGGGGTGAGGCTTGGGCATCAGAAGACTCATCACCGTAAAGGCACAGTCTCTCTGCCCAGCTGCTCCTCGCAGGCTGCAGCAGAGGCAAGGGAACGGTTTGGACTTTGCAGTAAGATAGACCTGGGTTCCCATTTAGACCTACCACCTACTGTGTCTATGTCTTCTGTTCGGAATCTGAGTCTCCATTCCCTCATTTGTCACAGATAAGAAAGCCTATGCTGGTCAGGGTTATTAGGAAGGTTCTGTGGATGGCACCTAAACACCGGACACAGGACCTGGGCCACAGGTGCTCAGAAGCCATAAGAACATGCGTGGCTGCCCTCCTGACTTGACAGACAGAAACCAACACTAGGGGCAGTGGCTCACGCCTGTAACCCCAGCACTCTGGGAGGCCGGGTGGGTGGCCTGCTTCAGTTCAGGAATTCCCGACCAGCCTGGGCAACAAAGAGTGAGACCCCCGACTCTACAAAAAAATTTTAAAAATTAGCTGGGTGTGGTAGTGGGTGCGTGTAGTCCCAGCTACTCGGGAGGCTGAGGCAGGAGAATCACTTGAACCTGGAGGTTGCAGTGAGCCGAGATCACTCACACCACTGCACTCCAGCTTGGGCGACAGAGCGAGACTCTGTCTCAAAATAAATAAATAAATAAAAAGCATCACCATTAAAATTAAACATAGAATTGTCTTATAATCTAGCAGTTCCTCTTTTGTATATAGTCACAAAAAAACTGAAAGTAGGGACTTGAGCAGTTATTTGTCCACCCACGTTTGTAGCAGCGCTATTTACAATAGCCAAAAAGTAGAAACAACTCAAAAGCCCATCAAGAGATGAGTGGATGAACAAAATATGGTATGTATTTATATGAAATCGAATATTACTCAGTCTCAAAAAGGAAGGAAATTCTGACATATGCTACAACACGATAAACCTTGAAGACATTATGCTAAATGAAATAAACCGCACACAAAAGGACAAATGGAGTAGTCAAATTAACAGAGATAGGAAGCAGAGTGCTAGCTGCCAGGGGGCAGCAGGAGGAGAGTGGGAAGTTATTGTTTACTGGGTACAGAGCTTCCGTTTTTGCAAGATGAACAGAGTTCTGGAAATGGAGAGTGGTTATAGTTTCACAATAATGTGAACATGCTTGATGCCCTAAACCATTTAAAAATGGTGCTGTGCGCAGTGGCGCGTGCCTGTTGTCCCAGCTACTCGGGAGGCTGAGGCTGGAGGATCCCTGGAGCCCAGGAGTTCTGGGCTGTAGTGCGCTATGCCGATCGGGTGTCCACACTAAGTTCGGCATCAATATGGTGACCTCCCGGGACCATCGGGTTGCCTAAGGAGGGGTGAACCGGCCCAGGTTGGAAACGGAGCAGGTCAAAACTCCCGTGCTGATCAGTAGTGGGATCGCGCCTGTGAATAGCCACTGCACTCCAGCCCGGGAAACATAGCCAGACCCCATCTCTAAAAATAAAATAATAATAAAAAATTTTTAAATTAAAAAAATTAAAATGATTAAAATGCCCAAGTGAAAAACAAGATGCCCAAGTAAGGGTGATTGCTTGAGGCCAGGAGTTCGAAACTAGCCTGGTCAACATAGTAAGATCCTATCTCTACGAAATATCTAAAAATTAGCCAGGCACGGTGAGGCACATCTGTAGTGCCAGCTACTTGGAAGGATAGCTCGAGGCTAGGAGTTCAAGGCTGCAGCGGTGAGCCGTGATGGCACCACCGGACTCCAGCCTGGGGGACAGATAAAGACCTTCCTTATCTCTAATTTAAATAAATAAATAAAAAGTTAAAATGGGAAATTTCATGTTATGTATATTTTGCCACATTTTTAATAAAGTATTGAAATTATAAAATTAAACAAGCTAGATGCATGAAAATCCAGAAAACAGGTTGCATTATTGAGGGGATGAGGAAGGGAAGAAACTCATATTTCTAAAGGTTATAAAATGAGATTCCTTTAAGAGAGTGGACTTTTTTGGTGCACTATACAATATAATTCTGTGAACACAAACTCTAGAGCCAAAGTGCCTGTGTTCAAATCTGAGCTCTGCCACTTATCAGCTGTTTGTCTTTGAACAAGTCATTTAACTTCTCTGTGTCTCAATGTCTTCATCTAAAAAACAGCGGGGGTGGGGGGAGAGGAGGAGTACCCTCATAGGATTCTTATGGAAATTAAATAAGTTAATATATGTAAAACGTTTATAACAATGACAATATATGATAAACTCTGTATGAGGGTGTGTTAAATAAATGTAAATAACTAAACTGTCCCAAAACATCTTTTTAGACAGAAAAGTTCATCTAAATGTTTTTTAAAATCATAAAATTCATTTTATCACCCATAAAATGAACATGTTGAAGTAGAATTTAGTCATTAGCTGCTCTGTGATGCCCCTTCTCAGAAGCTCCAGATTTAACATGAAGGGCCATTGGTAACAGGTCGTCTGATGACATCGTTTAGGCCAATGTTTCAAAATAATATTTTCTCTTTGTTTTGAGATGGAGTTTCATTCTTGTTGCCCAGGCTGGAGTGCAATGACACAATCTTGGCTCACTGCCTCCCAGGTTCAAGCGATTCTCCTGCCTCAGTCTCCAGAGTCGCTGGGATTACAGGCATGTGCCACCATGCCCAGCTAACATTTTTATTTTTACTAGAGATGGGGTTTCACCAAGTTGGTTAGGCTGGTCTTGAACTCCTGACCACAGGTGATCCACCCACCTCAGCCTCCCAAAGTGCTGGGATTACAGGCATGAGCCAAAATTTTATATACATATAAATATATATATTTATTACATATGTATATATGTATACATATGTACATATATAAGTACACATGTATACATTTAAAAATTAGCTGGGTGTGGTAGTGGGTGCTTGTAGTCCCAGCTACTCGGGAGGCTGAGGCAGGAGAATCACCTCATACATGCACATATATGTACATACGCACACATATATACATATGATGGAGTCTTGCTGTGTTGCCCGCCCAGGTTGGGGCGTAGTGGTGGGATCTTGGCTCACTGCAGCCTCCACCTCCTGAGTTCAAGTGATTCTCCTGCCTCAGCTTTCCAAGTAGCTGAGATTACAGGTGTGCACCACTACATCCGGCCAATTTTTGTATTTTTAGTAGAGACGGGGCTTCACCATGTTGGCCAGGCCGGTCTTGAACTCCTGACCTCAAGTGATCCACCCCCCTCAGCCTCCCAAAGTGCTGGGATTACAGGCGTGACACACTGCGTCTGGCCTAATTTTTGTAATTTTATTTTTTAAAATGGAGTCTCACTCTATTGCCCAGGCTGGAGTGCAGTGGCACAATCTTGGCTCACTGCAACCTCCACCTCCTGAGTTCAACTGATTCTCCTATCTCAGCCTCCCGAGTAACTGGGACTACAGGCGCCCACCACCATGTCTGGCTAATTTTTGTATTTTTAGTAGAGACAGGGTTTCACATATTGGTCAGGCTGATCTCAAACTCCTGACCTTGTAATCCACCCACCTCAGTCTCCCAAAGTGCTGGGATTACAGGCATGAGCTACCATGCCTGGCCTTTTTTTTTTTTGAAGACGGATTTTACTCTTGTTGTCCAGGCTGGAGTGCAATGGCACAGTCTCGGCTCACCGCAACCTCTGCCTCCTGGATTCAAGTGATTCTCCTGCCTCAGCCTCCCAAGTAGCTGGAATTACAGGCATGCACCACCATGCCCGACTAATTTTTTTATATTTTAGTTTCATCATATTGGCCAGGCTGGTCTCGAACTCTCAACCTCAGGTGATCCACTCGCCTCAGCCTCCCGAAGTGCTGGGATTACAGTCATGAGCTACCATGCCTGGCCTGTAATTTTAATAGCAATGACGTTTCTCCATGTTGGCCAGGCTGGTCTCAAACTCCTGCCCTCAAGTGATCCTCTTGCCTTAGCCTCTCAAAGTTCTGGGATTACAGGCATGAGCCACCGTGCCCAGCCTTATTTTTTATTATTTTTTTTCTTTTCCTGTGGTGCTGGAAAAGCGTTTAATCTTTAAGCTGGATTGCTTCAAATTTATTAAAATTATGGTCAGCCTAATTCATTTTATGGGCCATAAAATTATACAGCATTTTTTAAAAAATAAAAGACTTATGAAATGGTTAATATAAATAAGGATTTTTCCTTGGAGGGAAATTTCACTTAACAGAAAGACATCGATTCTAACTAATATCTACCTTCTTTCTCTTTTCCCTGGAGTGGATGAGGTTACCATATGTCCAGATTATTGTCATTATCAGGCTAACTGGGCATTTACTGGGTGCCAGGACCGTATTCAGTACTTTAAGTAGTTTTTTCAGTTAATCCTCACAATAACCCTGTGCAGTAGAAACTCTTACTCCCATTTTATAGACAAGGAAAGTGAAGTTTAGATAAAATTACAGCACCCAAGGTCCCAGCTGGTCAATGGTAGAGCTAGATTTGAACTCAGGCAGTTTGGCTCAGGAACCTGCTTACATGTCTGCGCTCACATAAATAGCTCGGCAGAGACAAATGACTGTTAAAGAGCATGCTAATAATAAATGCAAATGGAGTGCATGATTGGCAAGGTGAAGGGCAATTAGTACTCAACCCCCATTCTGCTCAAATCCACCATGTAATGCAGCCTCTGCTGGGAAGCGTAAGAGCAAATAGCTCACACGTACTTGCGAAGTCCAAGTTTAGACTATCTTCCAGGAAAGGTAAATTGTCAGGCAGAGGTAGTAACTGCAGGGCCTTAGCTCTGACAAGAGATTACTGTTAACAGCAGACACAACCCAGACTGAAACTCTTAAGTCAGCTAGTACAGTAAGTCCTCACTTAACCTTGTTGACA